TACATAACCCGCGCACCTGAGGTGATATCTGACTAGGTATAAGCCAATCTATTCGGCAAAAAAGGGGACAGAGTCGCAAGCTTCAGTGCAGAATATCCCTCATGGCGGTGCATTAATTATTGATAGAGCTGTAGGACACTCCCTATCAGGTTGATGGTCAGCACGGATGGGTTCATACCCTGTGCAACTGGGGTGAGCCCCCTAAAGCACTGCTGCTTCTACTCCTACCCCTCTCAACAGCGAGCTCGAGGATTGAAAATCCGAACTTCGAATCTGGGACCGGCACTTACAGGTTCAGACCCGGTGCTCTTGGGGTGAGACCCCTATGATAGGCGTTACACTATCCGACCGAAGGAAGTCTTACAGCAACAGCCTCTACCTACAGCTGAAGGAATACCTCCATTAATAATTAATCATGATACGGTACGGGTTTATGCCCTGTACCTATTCTGCGGCCTTCAGTTAAAGGCCCACGCCCTATGCACTGGGCCCGGCTAGGCGTGCACTGCACTAAAATGCCGAACAGAGGCATGCAGTTACAACCGCTGAACAGGAGTTCCGAGCTGCCTACTTAACGATATATATTCCCCTTGATGTGAATTTAATCATGGAAGAAGTGACCAACACTCTCTATCAGGGTGATGGCCAGCACTTAAGGGTTCATACCCTGTGCACCCGGGGTGAGCCCCCACTATACGTGCGCTGCACGGTGCTGCTGAACGGAGGAAATGCTATGGTAACCTCTATGTACTGGGTGAGCCCCAGTCTGTTTTATTTGGCCACGATTCGGAATAGACCCGCAAGGGTTTCCGTGAACACTGCCTACTGTCATAGTAGACTGATCTGTTTGCCCTGCATCCTGTGCCTGACTACTGTTTTGTGCCTTACACCGGGGTATCCCTTACTACGATAAACCTACCTGAAGTTATGCACTCATGGCTTTGCAGCCTCTTGCTTAGAATGTCCATATCCGCAGACGGTCGGACAAACCCATGCCCACCCATGCCCTTCCATGCCGGTCAGAACGGCTCAGATGACTATAGTGACCAACGGAGGAGGCCTTTTAGGATTCATGACCTTACCATGGGCGATGCTGAACGCCGCCAAACATCGTACGGGAACGGGCACACAACTTGGGTATATGGACTCAAAAAACAGTTTCTGCTCCTCGAAGGAAACCCCAGTGTTGGCCTCTCCCATAGGATGCCCATAGCAGCACTCCTCCGCACTGACGGATGGTTGGTGGTACTGGGTGCCAAGATAGTCGGAACCCCAGGCACAAGGCACAAAGTTCCAAAGGGAACTTATTAGACACGCAAGGGTCCCATGACTTTCATAAGGGTCCAAACCCCTAGGAGGGAGGTGGTATGCGATTACCTTGGAACCGGTTGGCAACAGAGCCAGTCGTCGACCCCTTCAGGACATTAGACCCGAGATCCGCTACCGCTGGCTCTATTACCCATATAGAGCGAGAGTCAACCAATGGTGCTCCAGATAAGCGGACAGAGAACACAGTACGCACAGATACCATCAATATACCTCCTACTACATCCACAGGGGATTTCACCACATCTAGGTGAAAGGCACTCAATCCTGGGGAAGACCACTTTCACGTAGTCAACCGACTTGTGTTCAGGACCTAAAGACACGTCAGGACGGTCTTCTTGCTTCCAGCTCGACCACCTTACCCAGTTTTCAGGGGACATCCTCTCCTTCCGAATCCAGTAGCTCGGAGCCCGGTGGGCCCTGATAAACTACCGAAAGAAGTAATGAATACAGGCGGAGAAGACGAGACACTCTCTTCTGGGAGAACCTCATTCAGATCACTCCAGTGAACTGAAAACTCGTCAACATCCACGTTCATCCGAGAACCGGCTGGAACCTCTTGTAGAAGACTATTCGCTCAGAGGATTCGTAGACTATTCCACAATTTGGGAATATTCGTACGACTCTCCGCGGCACCACCGCGACCCTGTATGTTGTATACCTAGACTTCCTGGTCCTATACTTCACAATACATTGATTGATAAAGAAGTACTAGATCGGCTGCTCCCTACTGCAGGTAACCACAGATTAGGCGGTCAGGTTTCCCATCCACCGTGATGGACCAACTCACGTTTATCAGACAACATGTAGGCTCCTTCGATCCCCTTCTTCTTCAAAGAAGATCAACTCATCTCCAGGTGGAGACACATCTCATAGGGGCCAACTGATTTGGATATTACCACTCGTCACAGTATAATTCGAGGCACGATGGTGATCGCGCTCCGTCTGACCGGACCTCCCCGGAGAATTTATGCTTCTCATGCTTACAAGGTCTACAGTAATTCTCGAGCAGGCGAGGATCTTCTCCTGCTACATTCACACAAACAATTCCACACTGAGCTGTAGGGTACTCACATCTTCTATCCCAGGAGGGTCGGCTTCCTGGGGACCTGGACCCGCTTTGGAGGTTTCTTGGCAGGTCAGCGGATGATCACAGGCTGCCGGGGACCTCTTGAGAATCTGGGAACCCAGGGATGCGACGACCCTACCCCTACATCTGGACATTCCCAGCCTGTCTGGTTCGGTCCTGCATCTTAATCCCTTATGTGAGGATGGAGACGGAACTGCAGCTGGTATCACTACCTGAGGACGCCCAAGGGACCAGGATCCTCAAGGATACCAACTACCCAATGTCATACGTCTCCAGCTTATGAGTTGTGGAGGTCGTTCTTCTTTCACTCTACGGGACTAAACATCCTGCTGACAATCGGGCAGACTTGGTCTTGTATAATTTCCCGTTAGATGGTGTATACGTGGGCGCTCAACAGGGAAGACCTCCCCACAACACCGAATACTGGGTCTCTCAGCACACCGTAGGACTCTTATTTAGTTCTAGACTCTTTTCTCAGCGTTAAAAATGCAAAATACGAAGCCTTCTGTCATGTGGTAAAATTGAAGATTATGCCAGCTTTAGAGTACTAATAATCTTAATTTTAATAATGACAGGAGGTGAGTATTTTCCCCCCCTGCTTCGCTGCCCACCCTTTCTATTCATTTGCAGATATCAGGTGCTAAGATAGGTTTGCCTCTCACATTGGTGCTTATATGATATGTTCGTACTTCCATCAATATGGAATCCTCATTAGAGTTCTCATTACAATTACTCAGTTATCAGATTATAGTTACTATATTCTCCAATGGGATGTTAGGTGGTACGTTAATTGGAGTTACATATTCGTGACTATGTCTAAATCTGTCACACATTCTCTTTTCAGTATGATTCGTCTCTGAAGACAACTGGCAGTTCACGTGAAACTATTGGAGATTTTACCCTTCGGATTTGTCTCAACCCTGAACTCTTTTTCGTTGTTCGTATAGAATTCTTTGGAAGTTTGCTCCTTCGCACATGGGAAGTTGGAGTTATTATTAGTTTTATTGTTTGCTATATATTTACTTCTGCTTGTTGTCGCTTTCTGAAAGAGGAAATGATAAGGTCACATTGCCTTGTGTACATCCTGCTCTCCTGTGATTGGTTCTTTTTTCTATGTATTTCTTTACTGCTGTATGGAGTTAGTAAAGAGAGATATGCAAAATACTCGCCTCCTGTCATTATTAAAATTAAGATTATTAGTACTCTAAAGCTAGCATAATCTTCAATTGATTTGCATGTCAATGAGTGAAATAAGTATTTGACCCCATTCGACTTAGTACTTGGTGGCAAAACCCTTGTTGGCAATCACAGAGGTCAGATGTTTCTTGTAGTTGGCCACCAGGTTTGCACACATCTCAGGAGGGATATTGTCCCACTCCTCTTTGCAGATCCTCTCCAAGTCATTAAGGTTTCGAGGCTGATGTTTGGCAACTCGAGCCTTCAACTCCCTCCACAGATTTTCTATGGGATTAAGGTATGGAGACTTGCTAGGCCACTGCAGGAACCAAATGTGCTTCTTCTTGAGCCACTCCTTTGTTGCCTTGGCTGTGTTTTGGGTCATTGTCATGCAGGAATACCCACCCACGACCCATTTTCAATGCCCTGGCTGAGGGAAGGAGGTTCTCACCCAAGATTTGACAATACATGGCCCTGTCCATCATCCCTTTGATGCGGTGCAGTTGTCCTGTCCCCTTAGCAGAAAAACACCCCCAAACCATAATGTTTCCACCTCTATGTTTGACGGTGAGGATGGTGTTCTTTGGGTCATAGGCAGCATTCCTCCTACTCTAAAAACATGGCAAGTTGAGATAATGCCGAAGAGCTTGATTTTGGTCTCATCTGATTACAACACTTTCACCCAGTTCTCTTCTGAACCATTCAGATGTTCATTAGAAAACTTCAGACGGGCCTGGACATGGGCTTTCGTGAGCATTGCGACCTTGAGGGTGCTGCAGGATTTCTGTCCTTCACAGCGTAGTGTGTTACCAATTGTTTTCATGGTGACTGTGACAAACTGCCATTTGCCACTGGGCATTGGAGAGGACTGGTTGCCCGTCTGCTGCCTTTAGACTATGGCCCCATGTTAAAACGCTTGATATTCCCCTGCAAAGACATGAAAGCCGGGTCATTTGGTACTTGCCCTATTTGAACAGTGAAACCCCAGATAGCTATGCCATGGAGCCCATTCGTATAACGAAAGACTATGTGAAAGACTTTGGCTCCATGGCAATTGAACTGTATGTATGTGATCTGAGCGCCATTCAGTAATAATGTGCGCTCAGATCTAAGCTATCTGGGGATATGTTAAATGTACCTGTTTTTTAATTTATTCTTTATTTTATCAGTGTTTGAGTTTAACATTCTGGCTTGCTCTTCTCCAACGGCAGACGCCAGCCGTTTTGAAAAGTTGAAAATAGTTAACTACTGGTGACATGTTTCGTTATGCATTGTGTTACATGCACACAATTTTTATTTTTATTACCAGGTTTGTTTATCAGTATTGTTAGTCCCAAATGCCAGCCCCGGTGTCAGGAGCTTAGTTTTCCATGACAGTCGTCGTGTATATGGTGTTGAGTCGGTGGTTCTATGATGTGTGGTGGTCGTGAGTCGATGAGCGGTATTTCCATATAGTTGGCTCGATTCTAGCCTTCATTATTCTGTGTGGACGTGTAGGGTCGGGTTTGGTGTCATTATTTACCCGCTTTGTGGGCCATGTTTTGATGAGTGTGCCTTGCGGGCTGTTAGGCGGGTGGTTTAGTAGGTGCAAGGCCCCTAACCTAGGGAGTCTACGGGGGAGGGAGGTATTGACGCCATGTGTTGTATGGGTCCAGTTAATGCCCTAGTAGGGGTGGATGTTTGGTCGTCGGACATTAGGGTTTGTGTGTGTGAACTTCTTCTGTCATTCCCCTGTGGGCAGTTAGGGTAGGTGTCCCTTTGTGTGGAGCAGTTGGGGGGGGGGGTATTATTGTAAAAATAAAGGTACCAGGAAAATAACATTAAAAGATAGTAACATTTAAAGAAAGAAAGATCAACTCGAGCCAGTCCAGGAATTAGTTGTCAAGAATCCCAACTGTGTCCATAAGGCATGGGCTCCTGCAGCCGTCAGCGTGGCGATATGCCTGTGCTCAGCTTGGTATCCTATGGGTCTGGTGACAGTGTTGCTCTGGAATGCAGGATGAAAGGTGTTGCTGTGGTCGAGTCCCAGGTGCTTGTAGGCAGTCCCAGAGTTGTTGTCACAGTAGGTAGTCCCAGTTTGTGAAGGAATGTGTGTGATAGCAGCCCGCGTGACTTGGATGGAATTGTCCGCTCCCCACCTGTATGGAAGGCCTGCTCATCGTAATTGGGTGGTGACGGGGCTACAGGATTTTCTCGCATCATCGCATCAACCATTGTCACCTTCTCACCAAGCTGCTTGGCGATGGTCTTGTAGCCCATTCCAGCCTTGTCTAGGTCTACAATCTTGTCCCTGACATCTTTGGACAGCTCTTTGGACAGATCCTGGAAAAATAACAAGGTGGAGTCCTATTTTGTGTTTCTTCCATTCGCGAATAATCGCATCAACCATTGTCACCTTCTCACCAAGCTGCTTGCCAATGGTCTTGTAGCCCATTCCAGCCTTGTGTAGGTCTACAATCTTGTCCCTGACATCCTTAGACAGCTCTTTGGTCTTGGCCATGGTGGAGAGTTTGGAATCTGATTGATTGATTGATTGATTTCTTCTGTGGACAGGTGTCTTTTATACAGCTAACAAGCTGAGATTAGGAACACTCCCTTTCAGATAGTGCTCCTAATCTCAGGTAGTTACCTGTATAAAGGCACCTGGGAGCCAGAAATATTGCTGATTGATAGGGGAGCAAATACTTATTTTACTCATTGACAAGCAAATCATTTTTCTGGATTTTTTTTAAAATTATTCTGTCTTTAACTTTTAAAATACACCTACCATTAAAATTATAGACTGATTATTTCTTTGTCAGTGGGCAAACATTCAAAATCAGCAGGGGATCAAATACTTTTTTCCCTCATTGTAATATAATTCAGCCTACAGTACTTGCGCCTGAAAATTATGATGATTTGTTCAAAGCTGATTCACAGGTACAGGAATGTTACCCAGAGGACATATCACCAGCTTTCCCAGACCAGCTTCTGAGCTTCCGTTCAACATTTCAGGAAGAGATTCAGACAAGCTGCACGCCGGCGTTCATTTTAATGGGATACGTAAGTTTTTCTTACTTTGCTCCATTAGTCTTCCCTGTGTGAAGAATGAAGGGGAACGGTCAAACAGGTAACCCACCTGGGCCTTTTTAGGATTTATTTATTCTTGAGTAGAGACAGGTGGCCCTGAAAAATCCTTGTACCTCGGAATTTGGGAGCAGTCCCTCCGAAACCTACTAGTTACTATATAACTGACCGTGTAAAGTTTAGCTCTGAATTTTGTGGGCTCTCTCTCCAAAATCCTACAATTATCACACTAACAGCTCTCCACCAACCCCCCTAATTACTACCCAATAAATAAATCAACTAAAGGTGAAAGTGAAACATGATTACCATGAAAACCCAAAATAACAAAAAACACACAAATGCCCAAGGTGTTTCAGTGCAATCACTACATCTTTAACCAGGGCTTTTCAATTTTTATCTCAAGTGGGCCCATTGTTCCAGAATGTTGTTTTCATTAATTCTTTCTATCCAGAGGCCTCTCTTATGACACCTCATCTCATACAATCTTCCCATCCTTCCCCTGACACTTTACATATTTTATGTTTGGCTGGGATAGAGAGACTCCATCTTGTTCTCTAATGCTGAATGTAGGTGCTTTCCTCCTGTTATGTATTGTGGTCACTCAAACATTTTAGGGACAGGACGTCTGAGCTTTAAAGGACCACTCTAGGCACCCAGACCACTTCAGCTTAATGAAGTGGTCTGGGTGCCAGGTCGAGCTAGGGTTAACCCATTTTTTTTATAAACATAGCATTTTCAGAGAAACTGCTATGTTTATGAATGGGTTAAGCCTTCCCCCAAAGCCTCTAGTGGTTGTGTCATTGACAGCCACTAGAGGCGCTTGCGTGCTTCTCACTGTGATTTTCACAGTGAGAGCACGCAAGCGTCCATAGGAAAGCATTATGAATGCTTTCCTATGTGACTGGCTGAATGCGCGCGCAGCTCTTGCCGCGCGTGCGCATTCAGCCGACGGGGAGGAGAGAAGGAGGATCGGAGGAGGAGAGCTCTCCGCCCAGCGCTGGAAAAAGGTAAGTTTTTACCCCTTTCCCCTTTCCAGAGCCGGGCGGGGGTCCCTGAGGGTGGGGGCACCCTCAGGGCACTATAGTGCCAGGAAAATAAGGAAGAATGTTAAGGCAATAAGGAAGAATGTTGATTTCAGAGCAGCATCTTCTAGCTATTAGACACGTCTATCAAACAGATATTACAAATATAATTTTTTTAATACAACACAACTTCCTTATTTTAAATAACATCTTATTTTATATGTAACCTCCAGTAATCAAGCTCATTAAAGATGTCCCTTAGCCATTACAGTGTCAAACTCTTCACACTAACACTTGTTAAAGGGATACTACTAGCACTATAGTCATTTTAGCTCATTGATATGGTTATAATGCCTGGACTACCTGGAGTCCCCTAGTGCTGTCCCTCCACTCAGTACTGCCTGTAACATCTCACCACAAAAACAGTGCTGTAAAAGGTTTCCTGATTCCATACGGTCTCCCCCAAATCATCTAACATTTCTATATAATTGATAGAGGGTTAGCACCCTCCATATTTATCAACCTATTGACCTATCAACGCTAATTAAAACACCCACAGAAATGTAACTTAATTCCCATCTTAAATATCTGTTTGTGTTTCATCGTCACAGACAAATACTTTGTTATGTATGGATGTTGTCGTTGTTTAGAAAGTTTGGGTGACAAAACATATTGCTGTCATAGAAGTAGCGAATTCATTTAAACAATTCACATAATGAGCAATTACTTTCTCCACCCATAATGTTTCATCAGCAGATTTAACAAGCCATGTTCGCCCAGTGGGATAAGGTTAATTAGGATAAATTTCCTATAAAATCCTACAGCGGTGGAAGAGTACTGAAAACAGCAAGGAACAAGAGAAATTGCAGCAAATCATTGACTTTTAATCTGTAAGTAAAGTTTTGCTCTGTGATGAAGTTTTGCTCTGTTACATATTATATAGCTATCAATGTTAAATGAGGCTAACAAAGCACAGAAAGCAATGGTTTAGAAAATAAATAATCTAGAATCTTAATTCTCTAGTTCTCAGCACTTACAAAGTGAGGTTCCCATTCTATTGCTCCAGGGGGTCAACGTATGAGACTGGCACTAAAGCCTCAATTTAATATTTTTGGATAAACCTTTCAAATGATTTATTATTTTGAAAAATATGTTAATATTAATGTATTTGCATATATGATTTTTTAATATATATTTTAATAGTTTATCTAAAAATATTAACTCCCTTGAAAGCTTATCCAAAAATATTAAATCGAGGCCTATGTGCATATTTTAAAAAATAAAAACAGCAGGACACTTGTCACATGACATGTGAATTCCATTATTATCATTTTATAGTTAGATTTTATTTATAAAGTCAGATATACAGTATATTCAGTGACATAGAAATGACTGCACTGATTCATAAAGACTGGATATTGCTATTGTAATACAGTATGTTACCATTTACAAAGTGTGATAACTCGGTCATCATATCTGGACAGATAATGTAAATATTGGCAACGTTTACACACTGTCTTTCTCAAACCAAGTGGCCTGAGAAAGACTATTCATGTGTTGAAACGTTGCCAATTCATGTTTCATAGCTGAAACAAATCATGATTCCACATTGCCTGTTATTATATGAAAATGGTTTGACAAAGTGGAAGGACTGCACCATAGCCACTACAATAAGCTTTTATAACATAAACTACAGTGGTTATGGTGCTTGATAAATCAAACTGTGTACTTTAACTTCATAATAATAATGCCCAATAGAACAGAAGGTTATCAATCATTTTATTGTTATTATCAGGCAAATCAGTTCCAGAGAATGAGTAACTTATGTTGTAGAATGAGTAACCATGCCAAGGAATGACGTACAAAATGAAAATAAATACCTCAACAATTCAATACCCTTACACCTTCAGCCGTTCTGTTACTCCTTAATAATCAGGGCCAATGGTGATTGGGGGATTTAAATATAAAAATAAAGAGTGAATTATCAACATATAAAGAGTGAATAACCTCAACATATGAGGAAAGGGATTTAGGGGTGATTATTTCTGATGACTTAAAGGTAGGCAGACAATGTAATAGAGCAGCAGGAAATGCTAGCAGAATGCTTGGTTGTATAGGGAGAGGTATAAGCAGTAGAAAGAGGGAAGTGCTCATGCCATTATACAGAACACTGGTGAGACCTCACTTGGAGTATTGTACACAGTACTGGAGACCGTATCTTCAGAAGGATATTGATACCTTAGAGAGGGTTCAGAGAAAGGGCTACTAAACTGGTTCATGGATTGCGGGATAAAACTTACCAGGAAAGGTTAAAGGATCTTAACATGTATAGCTTGGAGGAAAGACGAGACAGGGGGGATATGATAGAAACATTTAAATATATAAAGGGAATCAACACAGTAAAGGAGGAGACTATATTTAAAAGAAGAAAAACTACCACAACAAGAGGACATAGTCTTAAATTAGAGGGACAAAGGTTTAAAAATAATATCAGGAAGTATTACTTTACTGAGAGGGTAGTGGATGCATGGAATAGCCTTCCAGCTGAAGTGGTAGAGGTTAACACAGTAAAGGAGTTTAAGCATGCGTGGGATAGGCATAAGGCTATCCTAACTATAAGATAAGGCCAGGGACTAATGAAAGTATTTAGAAAATTGGGCAGACTAGATGGGCCGAATGGTTCTTATCTGCCGTCACATTCAATCTATCTATGTTTCTATGTTTCAGACTGTCCATGTAAGAAATATGACCTCATACAAAGTATCACATTAACATTCCAAATCAAATCATGTATCATTTCCAACTTTTGTTTTTTTTTATCTCTGCAGTAATGTCCTCCAATTGACAGATGGGTTATTAGATTACTACGAGCCTCTTCACAGAGATTGAAATCCGTGTATGCGGTTATCACTGCTGTTCTTTGATGCTGTTTCTACAGGTATATTGTCTAGTTTCCATCATTCGTATCAGTCTGTCGCTGCAAAAGTCAGTAAGGCTGTGTCGTATTTTCTAAAAATCAGTGCTAAACTTGTTATGCCTGAATAGCTCTCGCTATGTAATATTAAACATGTAATAAATATTATGAGTTACATCTTGTTATTCATGTGTCTTTTTCCTCATTCTGTTCCTATTCTATTTTCTTCCTATTATTTAACAAATACTCTACTTAGAGTTTTTAAAGCAATTCAATGGTGAATCAATCTGAACTGTCTGAATTTGTTCTGATCGGCTTTCCTGGACTCCCACAGAAGTTCGATCATTTGGTTTCAGTAACAATGTTCCTGGTCTACACTACAGCACTGTTGGCAAATGGCACCGTAATACTTCTGATAGCTTTTAGAGAACATTTACACCATCCAATGTATCTCATCATATGGAATCTTGCCCTTTCTGACCTCACTTTTGACACAGTTACTTTGCCCAAAACCATCGCCATGTATTGGTTTGCAGATGGGAAGATATCCTTTGTGGCCTGCATGCTCCAGTCATTCTGTGTCAATTATTTGGCTTCTTTTGATTCTTTCATTATCATGCTGATGGCTATTGATCGTTATGTTGCAATTTGTAAGCCACTGAGATATTAATATCTAATAAAATTACTATTTTTCTCTGCTGCCTTTTGTGGCTCATTGCAGTATTTATTGCAATTGCAATAGTTTTTTTAGTATCACAAATTCCTTATTGTATCCTAAAAAACAAAATCAACAATTGTTATTGCAATATTTCAACGATGATTTCAATAGCGTGTGTTGACTCGTTTCCTATAACAAGAGTGGCTTTCACCCTTGCTATGATTGTGCTCCTGATACCCTTGACTTTTATTATATTTTCCTATGTTGTAATAATAAGGACCATCAGTTCTTCCAGGAGCTCAGAAAACTGGCAGAAAGCATTTTATACCTGCTCTACACACTTGTTTATCATTGGCATGTACTTCGTCCCTCGATTATTCTTTTTTACAGCTAATCAACTGCGTTTGATTCTTAACGCTGATTTAACTGTCTTGCTTCAGGGTCTATACACCTTTGTTCCACATCTTGTCAGCCCGATTATATATTGTCTGAGGACAAGAGAAATAAAAAGGACCTTTGGTAATATATTCAAGATAACCAGCAGTGAATGCAGTGTTAGATTTAAACATTGAAGGTGTCCTGTTAGCTGTAGAATTGATTGAATTAAATGCATACTAACCACATCTTTTGAATTTTTTTTATCATATTAAATGATGTTTCACATATAAATGTTTGATGTAAAATGAAAGCACATTTTTTTCTGAGCAAAATGATATATAATACGTGTGGGTGCACTTTATATGAAAGAGTTCAATTAAGGTTGAACAGACAAAAAGCCAAATTTCAGGTTTTGTTTTGATAATAACTTATACAATTGTCCTCAAGGGGTAAATAATGGTATAGATAAATTGTGCATAAAATAGATTGTATATATATTGTGTATCAGCTGCAAACAATATCTATCCATTGTGTATGATCTACACCACAACATTCTCCGAATGTTGGTCACCAGGGCACTAAATCAGGATAGTGGTACAGGAACCCGAAATCAAGCCTATAATGCCAAAAGCCCAGCTGTACTGTAATAATAATAATAATAATAATAAGTCACAAATCAAGCTTCTAAAATGAAATAGATCTTAGCAATACTCTAATTGGCAAAGAATTTAACAGAGAAACTGCAGGGGTATAATCTACACAATAAAAGTGGTTCATTAGGCCATGGTTGGTTTTGATTCTAAGAGTGTGCCTTTAATAAGAATGATCCACATTTATTTGTCTGTTTTCATCCCATAGTTTTATTGTGTGTTATTAAGGAGGTTGGGACACAGCTGTAGCAGTTGAGGTGGAATATATATTGTTTGATACAGTGTCACATACACTGATAGTGTCTGAGTCCTCAAAAATAGAATGCAAAAAAGATAAAGTACCAGCGCTAATATATTCCTAAATTTTAGTACCACAATCTGTGAATGAATAATAAACCAGCTGCATATCACCATAATTTTATCTTATAATATAGAAATTGTAACAAGTGTGATGGTGAGGCGCTGTATTAATATACAGTGGAAACTCTGTATATGAGCACTATACGGTGCAGTATACTGATAAATGTATATATATACCTTAGATAGGTGCACTACTTAGGGATCCTAGTATTTATGTGTTGTTCTTTTAAAACATAAAAAGACCATATCATAGTGCAGACTGTAAAACATTTAACAAATACAAAGTAAAGTCAATTCACAACTCACAATTTTTAGAGCTAGAAAGTTTAGCTCAATTTATGAGCTTTTTGGGGTCCGTAGAGGCAGGCAACCCTTTCCCTTCTTTGAATAGTTTTCTGGTTGTTCTTGTCCTATACAGTATCACACAAAAAAGCGCATATGGTGCAATATTGTAGTTCTCATGAATAATAGTGGTCTTTCCAATATAGTATAGGCCACAAGGACATTGTATTAGATATATTAAGAGAGATAAAATAAATTGACCCTTTAAAAATCCTTCCCTGGTGGTCTATGGTGCAGCCACAGTCCCTCACAGAGCAGGCATTCTGTGAGACAGTCAGAGCATAGGCATCACATTTCCTGGTTTCCGAGCCATCCACCAGGGACAGTCCTATAATCCACCAAGGACCCCAAGGTTTCCACTCTCCAGACTGCTACTCCCACTTTGAGATCATCTATATTGATGAACTCTGTCTAGTTAATAATGCAATACTTCTCATCGAGAAGCATTGGACACCTATAACTCATGCATGGCAATCGCCGGGGGACACAGAGACATGGGTTTACTGGGGAATCCTCGGAGTACCAGAGACATGGGGAAACATGGAGATCCTGAGAGACACATAGACATAAGAACACACAGAGACATAGGGACACTGGGGGATCCTGGGAGACACTGAGACATGGGGATATTGAGAAACTAATGGACACTGGGAGCCACTGAGCCACTGGGAGACATGGGGGCACGGAGACCTTAGGGGTTACTGGGAGACATGGGGACACTAGGAGACATGGGGACACTAGTGGAACCTGAGAGACTAGGGGACACTGGGAGACATGGGGACACTAGTGGACACTGGAACACATGGGGGCACTGAGACACTAGGGGACACTGTGAGACATGTGGGAACTGGGAGTCATAGGGACACTAGGGGGCACTGGGAGACATGGAGACACTACGATATATAGGACACTGGGATACATGGGGAAACATGGAGACACTGCACTGTGAGAGAGGGAGACAGTGGGAGCAATCACTCTATACAGCAGAATCAAACTGTAAGTAGTTTTTTTGTGATTTTAAAGAATTTTCTGTTATTTCACTACTTGTGATTTACATCTTGTGATGTCACGCATGCATAATTAATTATGCACATTAGTATGGCTAGTATTAATTTCCAAGAAAGGTGGCAACCCTATTTACAGGTTGAGAGAAGTAAGGTACATGTGACAGGATTAGGGGGTTAATGTGACAGGGTGAGTGACGCATTGCTGGGGTGATTGTGACAGTATTGGAGGACTTTATGTGACAGGGTGAAGGAGGAATAGTGTGACAGGGCTGAGAGTTGAGAAGAATAGGGGAGTGACAGGATTGGAGGGGTTAATGTGATAGTGTGAGTGTGACAGAGCAAGGGAAGGCGAGTGCGACTGTCATGGGTTTGGGGTGAATGGGGTCGGTATGCAGAGATTTTATACGGACACAGTCACTGAATTTAAGGTTATTATTATAAAGCAAATGAGTATAATGAAAAAGTCCCAATGACAAATGGAAACGAAAAATAAGGCAATATCTTCATAAGAAACAAAAGTCCTTAAGGTAAAATAAAGCCTTTTACCAGAGTTTCAGCACTGGACAAATTATTGAAGGCATGATTGAAGTTGTAGCAGAATTGCATGAGTTAAACCAAGGCTGGAACAGAGTTATAGGGGTTAAACAAAGCAGAATTCAGGCAGATAAGAGTTGATTCTGGAAATCCACAGGTGAGGGAGATCAAATTACTTCAGGCAGGATCTGGCTCTTCACTGTAGGGAAACATCAAAACAACTGAGCACAGACCTTAGGGCGGTCTGTGCTTAAATAGGGAAAAATGAATGGGAGCTCTCCCATGAGAAGGGGTCTAAGGGCCTATATAAGTGGAAGGCTCCTCTGGGTAACTATACAGTGTAATACAATCATGGGTGGTGAGAGCACTTAAATAGATATAATAATTGCACGTTACCCTTTTGTACATGTGGGTATAAAAAACCTATTTCTTATTGCCCGTAGAAATGTAAAACAACTTCTATAAATATAAAAATAGAAGAAACCGCAACATAGGGTAATAACATAGCAGCTAGATATAACTTAAACTGATAATCAGTTCAACTCACATGGTCATGAGCCACTTATGAAAAGCTGGCTCATTCTAGAAGCATATCTTATAGATGCACGTGGTACACAAACTTCAAGCTGAATAACCTCCGTGGTCCTTGGTTCCTATTGCTCAAATACTCCAGGATGCAGGAAGTATGCAAGAAACACTTTATTGGACACACTAAACAGGCAGCTAGATAAAAAATAAATACAAAATAAAAAGTCCACTGTGCTGAGATAGAACTTAACACGTTTCGGCAAAGCCTTCTTCAGAAGTTCCTCTGGGTAACTAGGTGTCCACACCTCCCTATGTGGGTGGGACACAATGTCCATTTGTTAACTGAAAGCCACTGTTCCCTACACTGCTTCCAGGAAAACCTGTCCCAAGGGCTCTGATAGCCTGAGGGGATCCTAGGGCAGTGTGAGGCACATGGTATACATGCCACCTAGTTCATCTGCCAGAGGGGAGGTATGCTTATGGACGGGCAGAGTGGGAGTCCCTCCCCTTGCCCCATGAGGAGATAGCCAATGGTGTGCCGCAGAGGGGTGGAGGAGAAAACCGGCCACCAGGAGGTCGGTGAAGCGCATCCCTCACTACCAGGATGTCAAAAAAACACTTGGCATCCGGTGAGTGAGTGAGACGCACCTAAATCTCTCAGCATGCCGTGACAGCAGCATGGTTGCAGGGGGTGAGTGTGATGGGGTCAGGAGGAGTTAATGTGAGAGTGGCAGGATGAAGGGCAGTGACAGTGTCTAGGGGGGTGACAGAGTGTGTGGAGTGGGTTACATTGTTTGTGGAGTGGGGGGCAGTGTGTGTGGAGGAGGTGATAGTTTGTATGGAGAGGGTGACAGAGTGTGGGCGAGGTGACAGAGAGTGTGGGGGGTAGCAGTGTGTGGAGGGGTGACACTGTCCAGTGGTGGGTGGCAGTGTCCAGTGGGGGGTCACAGTGTATGTGAGGGGTGGCAGAGTGTGTGGAGGGTGTGACTGAGGATGTGGGGGGGTGAAAGAGAATTGGGTGATAGAGTGTCAAGAGAGTGCGACAGTGTGTGTGGAGGGGGTGACAGAGTGTGAAGAAGGGTGACAGTGTGTGTGTGGGTAGTGACACTGTCTAGAAGGTAAAAAAATAATAAGTAAATGATAGAGTATCAAAATAAATGGAACTCCAAACCTGGTTTTATACAAAGTCAGGGAAAGTAAGAAACATTATAAAGGTATAAATTATGACCAATCCGGAAATAAACACGGAGTTTAAATAGTGGAGTTTGCTACAAACAGCAATTATATTTAGTCCCAAGATGTTCCAAAAAAGAAAATTATATAATAATAATGAATACTTTATTATTACATATAAATAAAAAGCACTATATATATGGGATAATTGCTAAGTGGCAAGGGGTATATCAATCATCAGGAGGTCCTCTGTGTCTCTGTAATACGGCACAAACCTTATAACTATTCTATGAGCCCCTACTGGTAGGAAGAAAAATCCCTTATGAAAAAAAGAGTAAGAATAAACCAATAACTAATAAGTAAATAAATAAGTAGGTAAGTCTTCCTGGGCTCATATCCGAATCTACTAGTCAGCAGTCCGACTAGAAGGTCTGAGACCCACACTCAGAAAATATCCAGCAAAAGACAGGGGCAGCAATCAGTATATACCCAGGGTCTGGATCTTTTACCTTACACTGGCTAGTGTTGCACAGAGATAGTGAATAGCAACAAATGTGAAGCCTCTAATTACAATTGCTCAAAAATCTCAGCTATTAGCAAATAATGTTAAATATAGCAGGTAGCTTTAAGATCAATTAGCAAAAGAGAGATGCTGAACTAATAAGTCCCTATAGTTCCTAAAAACACCTTCAAGGGGGTTCTTTGCTGTCCCTAGATAATAACGCTGAGACCTTTCAGATTACCCCTTGCCACCAAAAAGAAAAACTCTGAGCTACAAACTTAAAGTGAATAAAGGTGTTAAACACCTAGTGCTCCCATAGTGAATTAATAAACAAAACAAAAAACCCGACGCGGGTTTTGGTGCATTTAGTTGCATCTTTGTCACTGGTTGAAAATACCTTGGTTTCTGCCATGAATTTAAACCACCCTTGTCCACTCCGTATTATCCTCGAATCGCCTCGATGTCCACTAACAGGTGTGTGAAGAAGCGTAACGGAGGCGGAGATCTGACAAGTCTGCCGTGTGCTGATGGCCCCTCCCCTTTTCCCCACGTCACTCGTGCACCAAATTAGGTTGCCAGTGGGGGGCGGGCCGAGGGCAGGCAGGGCCATCCCATCTTAACACTGAAGCCCTCCCCCTGAAAGTGGGATCTAATCAGTACCCCGCTATCCAAAGGGAAAGGGGTGGAGTCAGGGCAGGAGGAGTTGTCAAACAATATGATGACAGCTTCTCCTGTCTCTAGCGATATAAACATACATACAGTAAGTAATAGCCCTTAAGTGGCCAGAAACTAATTACGCAGAGATGCCCTGCATGTATCTAGTACTATATAAATAGATTTTGCAGGCTGTAACAATATAAGTAAAAATATACACCTAGATACAGCGTCTAGTTGGTACATAACCTATTATTGATATAGGATATTAATGGGGCATATTTGGGAAAAATGCAAATAAAAACCCAGTGGCCTAGGCAGGGGAGGGCTGACAGCCTTAGGCCTGGGGGGCAAAACCAGTCAAGTGGCCCATTGCACCACCAAATCAGTGCAATGGTGCACACATTTTCCTGGTTTTATAATGGATATTGATGTTATGCTAATCAGTAGCTCTTTGCCATACCCGCTCCTTCACGGCTCCGACTTTCAATGTTGTCAGAGCGCAGGCTGAGAATCTCTGAGCTTGTGCTCTGACTCACTAACTGAGTGCTGGAACCACGAGGGAGAGGCTATAATCTGAATGCACCTACTGCTGGTGCGCACCAGTGGACCACCAGCGAATCGTTTAAATTGAATAGGCTGGTGTCCCCAACTTGTGAGCTGTGTTGTCCGCCGGACGCCTCTGTTGTGATGGCACCCTGAGTGACCGCACAGCGTGCACACCCCAACGGCTGGCCCTGCTTACACACACTGATGTTACTACTTAGAAATCCCTCAATATTAATACAGACATCAGAGTAAACACCAATAAACTGTGGAAACAGAGCTGATCCCACCCAAATTTATAAAGATTTGCTTACTGGATTTGTTGTAAGATTAAATCATGCCTCCTCCTCTCTCTCCCATGCGCTGCTCTGTAAGCTGGGAGGAAGTGAAGAGTAATCACAATCTCTCAGCACAGTAGCACCTGTGGCTGCATGGGGAACAGCTGTATTTGCCGCCCCCCATGTGACATCACAATGCCCCACCTATATGAGCTGCCATACGAACTAACGCCAGTGCTGCCCACAGTGTGTGTTTACATTAAAAAGCCTGCAGGGACTGGCTATAGACACCAGAACCACTTCATTAAGCTCCAGTTGTTCTGGGGACTATAGTGTCCCTTTAATGTGAGGTAAATTATAGATTAGTGTCACTAATAATATACTAGATTGCCTACTTACAACCAGATGAGGATGATGATAGGCTGCAGTTTGGCTCCACTGGT